ATTTACTTCTATTTTTCTGGAACTGAGCTACTAATCAGTGTTAAAACAAAACACTGCAACGGGTGCATTATAAACATTTGAGTTTATTGAACTGAACTTGAACATTTCACAACCAAACAGGTGATCAATCATATTTGTTTGATGGACTAGTGAATCATTTTGCCGAATCACTTTGGTATCTGACAAGAAATTATTTTCTGGGTTCAATTTTCTAGCCGTTTTTTTCCTAATTGAAGTGTTCCAATTATTACTATGGTCTTACTTACCTAAGGAGTGCTGAAGTTGTTTGTATTTACCTTTTACATTTTGTTTTTGTGAAGAAAACACTTGACATAGTGTGAAAAGCCTTTATTTTATTTTATTACTTTATATTTGGGGAAATATACATTTCAAAGTCCAAATTTGAGAATAATTAGTTTGTTATTTTATTTAATTTATTTCATTTCTCACTAATATTTACAATATAAATCATATATATTTTGATACAAAAATTCCTGTCTTGTGTCATCATTTCCCTTGTCTTGCTGCAAAGTTGGCTCCAGAGCGAACTTAAACTTCTGATAACTTGGTCCAAAGTTGATAGTATAATATTGTAATCTCCTTGGTTTCTATATCGTGCGGGTTACACTTGCAGACAACTAACTACATTATTTTAGGGCACTCCTTAGGATAGGATAAACCTTATGATTCCTTCAATATGATGCAGAATTATATGACTTAAAATGACTTGAATTAAATGACGTAAAAACTCTGAACAAACTATATATATATATATATATATATATATATATATATATATATATATATATATATATATATATATTAGTGAGAGTAAAAAGTATTTGATCCCTTGCTGCATTTGTTGGTTTGCCCACTAATAAAGACCTGATCATTCTGCACTTTTAATGGTAGATGTATTCTAACATGGAGAGACAGAATATCAAAAAAGAAAATCCAGAAAATAACTTTAAAGAAAATATATTAATTGATTTGTATTTCGTTGAGGGAAATAAGTATTTGATCCCCTAGTATGCATTAGGAGTTCTGGCTTTCACAGACCAGTTAGACACTCCCAATCAACTTGTTACCTGAATTGAAGACACCTGTTCTAACTAATCACCTGTGTGAAAGACACCAGTTCACAGAATCAGACAGATTCCAAACTCTCCAACATGCGTAAGACCAAAGAACTCTCTCAGGACCTCAGAGACAGGATTGTTGACCTGCACAAACCTGGATTGGGCTACAAAAACATTAGCAAGATGCTGGGTATTAAAGTAACAACCACTGGTGCAATTGTGAGAAAATTTAAGAAGTATAACCTGACCATCAATAGACCTCGGTCTGGTGCTCCACAGAAGATTTCACCTCGTGGGGAGGCAATGATTATAAGAACTGTGAGAAATCGGCCTGCAACCACACAGCGGGAGTTAGTGAATGACCTCAAAGCAGCTGGGACCACAGTTATCAGGAAAACAATTGGCAACACTTTGCACCCGAAAGTTTGCAGTGCCCGAAAGGTACCCCTGCTTAAGAAGGCACATGTGAAGGCCCGCCTAAAGTATGCCAATGATCACCTCAAAGAGATGAACTCTACTCGTCATGTGTGGAGGAAGAAAAATGCTGCCTATGACCCCAGGAACACTGTACCCACCGTCAAGCATGGAGGTGGAAGCATTATGTTTTGGGGGTGTTTCTCTGCCAAGGGCACAGGGCTACTTCACCGCATCAGTGGGAAGATGGATAGAGCCATGTACTGTGCAGTCCTGAGGGACAACCTCCTCCCCTCTGCCAGGAAGTTGAAAATGGGCCGTGGTTGGGTTTTCCAGCTTGACAACGACCGAAGCATACAGCAAAGGCAACAAAGGACTGGCTCAAGAAGAATCATATTAAGGTCATGGAGTGGCCCGGCCAGTCTCCGGACCTCAATCCAATCGAAAATCTATGGAGGGAGCTGAAGGTCCGAGTTGCCAAGTGACAGCCCACCAACCCTAATGATTTAGAGAGGATCTGCAAAGAAGAGTGGGCCAAAATCCCCCCTGATATGTGAGCTAACCTTGTAGTTAAGTACAACAAACGTCTGTCCGCTGTGCTTGCAAACAAAGGCTGTGCCACCAAGTATTAGGTGCTTTTGGCTGGAGGGATCAAATACTTATTTCCCTCAATGAAATACAAATCAATTCAAATATTTTCTTTAAAGTTATTTTCTGAATTTTCTTTTTGATATTCTGTCTCTCCATGTTAGAATACATCTACCATTAAAAGTATAGAATGAACATGTCTTTATTAGTGGGCAAACCAACAAAATCAAATACTTTTTACCCTCACTGTATATCTGTTTGTAGGTGCCGCTGCAATTTCAGACTGATAAGCCTTACCTCGTTTACTCAAGTATATTGAACACAAGTGAAGATATTTTGAAGAATGCTGCTAGCTGGCACTCATCGACTTCTAGTAGCAAAGACAACACTATAGATGTCAATGAGTGCAGCATTCTTCAACATATCTTCACTTGAGTAAAGGATGACAGATCTTTCATTGTTGGGAGAACTGGGAACACTAGCTAGTTCACTTCACTTATTAGCTAATATTTGAGTGTACTGTGCTGTGTGAATGTAACTCTAGCACAAACTGAAGCATAAGTGTGTTTCCATAACAGTTTTCCACAAAACTTTCACAATATTTTCTGAGTGTTGTTAAAAACTGTTGTGAAATGAAGACATTTCCATTCTAACCATTGTTCTGTGGCTAAAGCTCAACATTTGCTGGTCAGACATTGGGAAACCCCTGGCGCTAGTTCAGTAGATATTACAGTAGGATTACTTAAATCACAGTCAACACACTCTTATATTTCACATTATAGTCACACAAATGGCAGGGCAATGTGCTTTAAACATTACAAGATGCATCAATATTGTTCTATAAAGGCTAAATTGAGTCTGCAGTTTGTAAAACAGATCTTCTCTGTGTTGTTTTGTGTTGTGTTCACACTTATTGTCAGATCAACACACAGATAAAGTAGTTCAGGCATGTTTTGAGTGCATAACAGTCCCGTATCACTACGCTGAATGATTTGACTTCTGTTAATGCAAGGAGCCGGTGTGATGAACAAAGAGCAGGAGTCAGAGATACAATTTATTGAACACAATAGTTTACAGTTTGATCAGAAAACAGCTTCAACACACTCCATGGGGTTCGCAGGCCGCTCTGCGTACAGTCTCAATTTCACAGAAATGATAGGAAGAGCAGCACACATGTGGTCAGTGACCAAATCAGATCATCAGGAATTCATACTTCCATTGTTTTCTGACATGATGCTGTTTTCTGCTTCTGCTTCCCACATTGTGCACTTCCTCCTGCGAGTGTTGCTGTCAGAGCTGCATGCAAATGAGGGCCGGCTGAAGCCTCCCTATTGGCCTATTAGCTCTAGATTGACAGCTTCCTTCTCCAGCCAATCAGGCGAGGAGAAAAGCTGAGGTCACTCAAATGACGGCCAATGCGCACAGGCGAGGACAGAGAAGTGTATAATAATTAACAATCGCTCTTAAATAACAATCTGCAGTGATCACACAACAGTGACAGAGAAGAAGAAAGAGGAGAAACTAAATAAACCAAACACAAAGCAAAAAAAAAACCTTACTTAACCCATAACCCTAACCCAACCATAACCCTAACAAACACCCTAACCATATCCTAACCCTAACCTAACTCTAAAAACAAAAAATCAAGTGTTTAGGAAAGAAAGAAAGAAAGAAAGAAAGAAAGAAAGAAAGAAAGAAAGAGGTGAGGTTTGTCCTCATTAGTAAAGATGATTAGTACTCTTAGATTAGTACTCCTCTATGTTGTGCATGTCTAACTCTAAACCCTAACCCTGACTGATTATACTTCATTAACGAACACTTTAACTAACACTAACTTACTCCAATATTTCTCCAAACAAGCACGCACATTATCTAAAGAACACAAGCAGAAATAAGCTAAACATCATCAATAATAAGCTTATTAATATCAATAAACATCTATTAAAGTCATACTCTAAACTACACTTGTGTCCATAACCAATATCTAAATATCCCAGTCTTGACTAAACCGCTGTTATTTAGCAAACGCTGCTGTTCAAAATGTCTCCATTAAACTACTTCAGCTACTGGTTTAAGTTAAAGCTCATTTGCAGAAATCCAGCGCTCGCTTGGAGAACAAGTGAGAAGAAGAAGAAAGCAGAAAGGTGTGAGCAGCAGCACTAGAAATAATCCTCATCCGATCTGAGAAATCCACCGCTGGGCTAAAATATGTCTGTGGCAGGAGGCCACCCCATCCTATCTCTGTTAAAGAGAAAACGCCTTCAAAACCGGCCCACGACGCCCCTGTTATATGCGCTTATCTCACTTAAACCTGCCTAAAGTCCCGTTAGAGCTACGACCACTGTCTAAACTAGGCTTTCTGTCTTTATAAAGTATTGACGCACTACAGTAATGATATGCAGACTTTATCTTTTACTATTACTCCTACAGCTAGAGAAATAAAGCACACTAGTATGCTAATAAATCCAGCAGTTTGATTGATTAATCTGTGACTATTTCCCTTAATATGACTATTTACTCTACAGTCAGTGCTAACCCAGTTGAAATAAAACACTACGTCCTGTCTAAACGTCAATCAACCTGCTTTCCTTATTTCAAACTATTAATGCTGTCCTGCCGCAGACACATTCTACCCCAGCTGAGGATTAGCGCTAACACTCAATCTCCGGCGTCGCCTGTGCGCATCGGCCGCCATTAGAGTGACATCAGCTTCCTTCCTCACCAGATTGGCTGGAGGAGGAGCTGTCAGTCTAGAGCTTATGGACGAATGGAGACGCTTCAACCGGCCCTCATTTACATGCAGCTCTGACTGCATCCCTCGCAGGAGGAAGTGCAGAATTTGGGAAGCAGAAGCGGAAAACAACAAATGACAAACATCAAACATGGAAGAATGAAACCGTTTCCTGCTGCTGATGGCCTCTACGTCATGCTGAACCACTCGTGCTCTAAAATCTCCTCTAAAACAGGTCCTGTTTCAGGGTGGAAACTGTATAACCGCCCCAACAGATCCCGGCACTCTGTGGAAATATTAAAGAGAGAACATGTTAGTCATGGATGCTCTCGATGATGATACAACACAGAGATTTATTCAGTGGTCTGGTGAAATTCTTGATTCTGATTTGCTGGAATGAAATCATTAAATCCAGTTTCAGTCAGTTATAATCAGTTCTAGATGAATGCGCCACATGCAAACATTAGCCATAACCATTTCATTGGATGTGTGCTTTACCTGGAGGCAATGGGGATCAACCAAGTCGCAAATACGGTCAGAAATGGATGAGGTAGCTAACACACGTTACTATTAGCTATAATATCAAACACACGACCAAATCGTAACAGACGGAGATTCAGTCAAATCTCCTGCAATAGTACTTTAACTTGTCTATGAAAATGACCATGGAATAAGTGGGATTATCAATGGATTACTGTTTGCTTTTGCTTCTGCATTTAAAATCCATGCGGCAATCTACTGACTATACATTACTTGTTTGAAAAAAGATTTGAAATTTAAAGTGAGAGCTTTTATTTAGAGCCATGATGACATATGGAGGCAGTAATGTCCAGCTGTTTCCTGTCCAACTGTTATACATATTATCCTAATAACACATGTTAAGTTTGACGAATATGGCAGGGTTGTACACTAAAGCTGTATTCCATTGTATTTCATAGACAGACATAGAGTTCTGAATGAGTGAAATCAGCTCAACACACCTGTTTACTGTGGTACAAACCACTTTTGTAAAAGTACATTATTTCATGTATTAAATAAATAAAACGCCACTTTTCTCATTCAAAATATGAACATATTAAAGCCGTAGAGGCTAATTTACATATTTCACAATCATATTATAAGTGGAAATAAGAAATGCAACACATGATGTTTACTCTGATGTCACTCGATATTAAAGTGAGTGCGCACACTGAGTGCTTCTGTCACTGTTTAACGCTGTGCATGACGGTACGCTTTAGTTAATGACATATGCACTGTGATGAGCTTTATATTTAGAGTTAATTGTGAAATAAACATAGTAAACTGTTTGTTAAGAGTTACATGTTCTCTGGAGGAAACAGCTGTGATGATGAGAGGAGCGTTGAGGAAACTGTAGATACATGGGAAACCGACTGCTCCTCCATGACCCATTGGGGTACAAGTGATACAAGTGTTTCTACAGCAAAGAACTGCAAATATGCAGATATTATACCAATCTATTGATAAACACAGCTTCTGCTCTCACTCCACACAGCTGTGCTTTACTGATTAAATGACTAATTAGTTGAAAACAGAAGAGCTGAAGTTTGCTGCCGCTTTCTTATCAAATTTAAAGGGGACTGAGCTGATAATATAGTAGTGAACCATTTAGTGGGGCTGAGTGAAAATAAGTGGCCCAGCGGCACCCATGAGCTGCACCATGTGTAGTGTTGTTTTCTCACCTGCTGACAAACTGGGGTTAAATTGTGGACTTCCATCTCTGGAGAAACAGCCATATCCGTTGACCATGTATGACAGCATTCGTCTAACAGCCCAGACATGCGCTTTAACAGCAGAAAAAATATAGCTGAAGGGTTCCCCTTCCTTTTTACGGTATCTCGTTACTCCTGCAAGTGAGAGATTTTCATGTTAGTAATTCACAATATCTTTGCCTTCCTGACATCAGCATACATGCACAGCAGGTTACAGATGAAGGGTCAGTTCACCCAAAAATGTCATTCTGTTATTAATAACTCAGCCTAGACCCCTGAGACCTTCATTCAGCTATTGAACACAAATGAAGATATTTTAGAAGAAACGTGGGAGCTCTCTGACCATATATGCCTTCAGTGGTTCAACTGGAAATCATGACTTTATTGAACAGTTTCTTGTCCTCAGTGTCAGTATATTGCGCACACTCAGAAGAGCTCTGTGCAGTGACGTACACCGCTGATGTCCTCCTCTGATTGGAAGAAAGCACAGGCGCATCCGAGATGATACATCAGCAGTGCAACTGAGAGCAACATGCGTGAAGGCCTCAGACCTCTCCTGAACGTGCGCAATATACTGACACTGAGGATGAGAACCTGTTCAATAAAGTCGTTATTTTGGCTTTATGTGGAAATAAAAGTATTATCAGAGTCTGATAATGCTCTGATTGATCCACTGAAGGCATATGGTCTGTTTTGAGGATGTTTTGGGTCCGTTTATAGACCCTTGCTGTCTATGGAGACTCAAAGAGCTCTCAGATTTCATCTAAAATGTCTTCATTTGTGTTCAGGGGTTCAGGACGACATGAGAATTTTTCATTACTAAAGCTATCTTCATATGTGTGAACTTTCCCTTTAATAAGCAGCACTAAAAAGCCAACTCACCCAGAGTGGGGCATCTCCAGCAGCCTTTTGAAACATAAGAACTGTAGCCAAAATCAATCAGCTTCAGCTCCAGGGTCTTTGGATTGACCAGGATGTTTTCTAGATTCATGGACCCATGGAATATGCCATGCTCAATGCAGTGCTGTGCAGCAATAATGAGCTGCACGATCAGCTGCCGGGCAACACTCTCACTCAGGCAGCCATTGTTCTCCGTGATGAACTTTCCCAAGGTTATGTACGAGGACGCGTACTCCATGACCAGGTAGTTATTCCTTCCCTCCATGGCGTACTCGTACAGCTCTATGATGTACGGGCAGAGCGGAGGTTTCTTGAGGATCATCATATGACGTGCTTCTGGGATCACATATGTAGAATATCCATCCTAGAGAAAAATCAAGTCAGGAAAAGGTTAGATGTGAGTGTCTCATATATTTATGGCATTGTAATGTGTCAATAGCTGTGTTTCCATCCAAAGATGCTGATTAAACTCATGTGCAAAACTGGCAGATCATATAAAAGAATAAAGCAGCGTTTCCATCAATGAGTCCAAGAGAATTAAATCATCACTGAATTATAAACTGGCGTCAAATATCAGTCAGAGAAATGAGTTTCGCCACAGAAGACCAAGACCAAACACAATGAGCGCGGTAAATGCGGTGACTTTTAGAGACGGGAGCGCGGACAGATGCTCAAGACAGTTCTGGAGGCAATAATAAAAGAAGAAGAAGAATACTGAAGCACTGTGATGACAGACTGACGGAGGACTGAGGCTAGAGATGGGTACTGAAACTCTGTACTTTATCAGTATCGCAGCTAAATTATAAAAGATCGTAGTATAGGAAAGCGCTGACGTTAACGGTTCTGCTATCGGTTCTGGAGAATTATTGCTGAGTAAACATTACTAACAGTAGAATAATTAACTGACCAACCTTTTCTAATTTGTGATATTCATCTGCACAGTGGGAAATCTCACATGAGGAATGCTCATGTTTCTCCCCAATAGTACAACGGCGAGTGCGTCAAGTATAAAAGCCTTCACAGTTCTCGGCTATGCACGCCCGTTCACTGGAGGCTCGCGCTGAGCGCACACACATAGCTCACAACATAAGACTCGGGTGCACACACAGCTCGTAAGCTTGCGGAGTGGCGGAGAAAACCAAACGGGTTGTATTTCCTGAGTGGACAGCAAGAATGCCCATCGCAACAAACACATCAAGTTGTTTACTTGTATGAGCAGAAACCAAGCAATCTGGCTAAGTGAAAGCGTCTTTCAAAAGTGCGTTAACTGCAGAAAGACAAATGAAAAGTTTTCGACTGACTAGTTTAATGTACATCATCCACATCGTTATGCTAGCAGTCAATCACATAAAGTCTCTGTAAATTAGTCTCATATTTATAGTTTAATAAACACACATTCAGTTACAATGAAAACAGTATTTCTTTCTGCAGCAGCCTGAATACATCTTAAACATTAAAAAGGCTTTTACATTACTGTATTTACAAATATAACCTAATAATAAACTATTCTTATTAGGAATTTATACAATTATTTTTACATTGTTCACTCCCAAAACACCGGTGACTCATTTATGCGAATGTGTTGATGAAAAATCCTAAATATTCTCTGATTATTTAACTGCATTTTGCAACTAAAAGAAGATTTTCAACTGCAGGAGCACAAGAAACCAAGAAAGATCCTGACTTCTGGCAGAAAAGGCAAACATGTTGATTTTTCCCCAGAAGAAAAAAGGTTAAAACTGAGAGTCACTTTTCTTCAAACCATTATACATTCTTCTACAGGAAAATCTGTATTTAATTGTTTTACATTTATTGGTTTTGCTTTATTTTGCATAAATGTAATAATAAAATTAAGTGTCAATTCTGTTCAATTGTTTTTTTTCCTAAAAATAATAAGATTTATAAGAGAACAGTTAAAGTACTAAACTAATAAGTGTTATCGATAAAAGTAGTAATACCAATAAAACCTTAACGATATCATCCCTAGCTGAGGCCATCTACAATCAACATTTCAGATCTGACACACTGGAGAGCTGCAGACCAACATTAATGACACAAAGACCCTGAACACACATTGATATCATCACATGACCTCTTCTGACACAATCACATGACTTGTTTAATCTGCATTTGAAGAAGATTTCTATTATCTCAGTGTGAAGTATTTTCTAAGTGTAAAGCAGTTAATTTTCTCTTCTCAAAATGTATGTATTGTTTGCAGCAAACATGCCAGCCTGTGTTAAAAATACAGTGATATGTCTGTGTAAGATGAGTATGCCTGCACAGGAGCAACACTAGGAGAAGGCTGAGTGACTGATTGTGTAGAATAACTAATTATGTAAAGCACTGATCATATATGTTAAATACTTCTATGAAGCTATATGTGTCAGAAGTTAGAATGAGTAACATATTATCAAGTTATTATCCTATCATAACAATGTATGTAAACACTTAGTTCCTTTGCATAAGTTGCATCTATACTTTGCTGACATAGACCTGTAACATCTCTGCTGACATGAGCTAGTGGGCTGAGAGCCAAGAATAGCAGGACCCCTTAGACTAGAAACCTATTCAAAAATGGTCAAGAGTTAAAAAGAGACTTAGGGGTGTGTCAAATAATCCTGTATAAAAATTGTAACAAACACACTAAAACTTTAGAAGGTGCAGGAGAGACTTCAGAATGCTCTGGGGTCTGCTCTGCTCTTTCTCGGCTTTATTATGGAGAATAAAGTCTATTTTCTGATATTCAAAACCTCCGGTCTGATAATTTGTAATTAATGAGAAGTCAATATTTACCACACATGCTAGTGTTTATCAGGTAAAAATGCTCCTGATGCAGTTGATGTACTTTTTTTCTTCTGGAATAAAGTTTATCCTAGTAAGTTATGCGCATGAAAACATGTTTGTGCATCTTGGTGTTTTCAGCATTGTTATTGTGAGAATCCTAAATGTGCATGAAACAGGTGGATGGAAACAGAGCTATGTTCACATATTAACTCAAACTCAACACTACATGTGACCCTGGACTACTACACCAGTCTTTTGTCATGCGTGTTTATTTTTAGGAAAACTCTAAATTCTGACTTTAATTAAAGATTTAGTTTCAGTATATATTTGTGTATTTCCTATCAGTGTGGTATTATTATATGTAGTTTACATGGAAATGTGCGGGACTTAGTTTAAGTTATTAACTTTAAAGCTGATTTTCTCAATATTCAGATGTTTTTCACCTTCCAGATGGTCAAACAGCCGCATCTCCATCAAATATTGTTCTAACAAAGCAAACATGATTGAAAAGCTTCTTTACTGATCTTTCAGATGATCCACAAATCTCAGTTTCAGACATTATGACTGGTTTTGTGCTCCGCAGTTCATCTGCAAAATCTGATAACCCCCATTATTAGAAATGTCCAGAAACTCTTTAATATTCAGTCAAAACAGGATTTCTGGAAATGACTAAACACGTCCAGTTTCAGTCTTTTCCATAAAGCGTGTTGTTTACACTTGCACCCTTCAATACACAACATAAAAACATGACTAAACATGGAGTTCATCACTTCTCTTCAGATATTTGAATGCAAACTTACCACGTGGTACAACTCTCCATAATAATCCTTAATCACAATTTTTATGGCAACCTGCAAAGAAAGCATAAAGTCAAAACTTTTTCAACCAGAGAGATGTCTGATCACACACACGCACACACACACACACACACACACAAATGAAGTGAATGTTACCTTCTGGCCGTCAGATTTCCGTGTAGCCAAATAGACAGTGCCATGGCGTCCCTCTCCCAGCTTCTCTCCAAGCACATATCTGTCAAGTAAAGATCCTGGAGAGAAATACATCACATTTATGACATTGCTCACTCCTGTGACTCTTCTGCTCTAATCTAATAGTGAGAAAATTCTGTAAAACTCTGAAAAATAATACAAAACCCTGCAGATTAGACAGAAAACATTATGACAGAAGACGAACCTGAGCTGCTGTCTTTAACTGAACTGCTGTCTTCAACTGATCTGCTGTCTTCAACTGATCTGCTGTCTTCAACTGATCTGCTGTCTTCAGCTGATCTGCTGTCTTCAGCTGATCTGCTGTCTTCAACTGATCTGCTGCCTTCAACTGATCTGCTGTCTTCAACTGATCTGCTGTCTTCAACTGATCTGCTGTCTTTAGCTGATCTGCTGTCTTCAACTGATCTGTTGTCTTCAACTGATCTGTTGTCTTCAACTGATCTGCTGTCTTCAACTGATCTGTTGTCTTCAACTGATCTGCTGTCTTCAACTGATCTGTTGTCTTCAACTGATCTGCTGTCTTTAGCTGATCTGCTGTCTTCAACTGATCTGTTGTCTTCAACTGATCTGCTGTCTTCAACTGATCTGTTGTCTTCAACTGTTCTGCTGTCTTCAACTGATCTGCTGTCTTCAGCTGAGCTGCTGTCTTCAACTGAGCTGCTGTTTTCTGCTGCAGTTTTCCCACTGCTGCTGCCGCCATGTTGGATCTGTGCTGTTTTCATTCGTTTTGCAGCAACTGTGTCCTGATTTCTGCTGTCCTGATCCAGACATCCAGCCTTTCTCTTCTGTCCTCTTGGAACTTCTGTGGATTACAGTCAATAATGAATTATTAATAATCGGTTATTTCAATATTGGCATTTATTTTACACTGGGATTTAACAAATGGCAGCAGTGCTCCAGTTTTCCAGTATTTCTCCAGTCATAAAGAGTGGACTGACCTGAGCTGGACGCCTCTGTGTCGGCATCTACACTTGTGTCCTCCAGCTCTGCAACTCTGATGCGTTTCCGGCGGGCAGATGGTTTGCCTCCACCAGAAACACTCTGAAAAGCATCATCTGCTTTCCGCTTCTCTCCTCTTCCTCCTTATGTGGATGACAACACAATGAACAATACACTCTACAATTAATCAATCATGTTTTATTATTTCATGGCAGATTTCTGTTGTGCTATCTGAGGATTCAAAAATCTAAATATGGAGAAAATCACATTTAAGAGACTACAAGATAATTGAAACAATAAAATAAGCTGAATTAATTCACTGCATTAGCGGATTAGAGCACACATTCATAGTTTTCTTAGTTTAGTTTATTTTTCATAGTTTAGTTCCTGTGACTAAAATAACTCAAAACAAATGTTCAGATAATATGACCGCTTGAAAAATTAAAATAAAACCAACATCACTTCAAATATTTAAATCCCTTAAAATATTGTGATGTCATCATATATGTGATATGTCCATATGGCGCCCCTACAGCTTCCTAAAGCACACTGACCTGAGCTGCTGTCTTCTGCTGCAGTTTTCCCGCCACTGCTGCTGCCGCCATGTTGGATCTGTGCTGTTTTCACTCGTTTTGCAGCAGCTGTGTTCTGATCCAGACATCTAGCCTTCCTCTTCTGTGCTCTTGGAGCTTCTGTGGATTACAGTAAACAATGCATTATTAATGCTCAGTTCTTTCATTGATTGGCATTTATTGTATTTGGGGATCTGTTCAAATGGCAGCAGTGCTACTAGTTTCCAGATGTTTTGTCATGAAGCACTACTGAGAAATACTTTGCACAATACTGCATCGTTCACAGTTTTAAAGGCACAATATATGCATTATGGGATAGAGTAGCGTCCACTGGATGCCCACTTCCGAATCTCTCCAGTAGTAGTAGGTCATCCGGGTACTTCTCACATGCTGTTTGTCAAATACTGTGAATTTAGACATACTACTCGGCTCACGTACTGTCTTAATGTACTGTTTAGTATGGAAGTGTGTGATTTTAGACACAGCCAGTGTGTGTGTTCATGCTAATGACGTCACACATCCTCTATTTCTGCTCTGTTTGTCTAGCGAGGTTTTAATATGTTTGTGTTTTATTTGACTGCACAGAGCAGCATTATAACAGAAGCCTGAAATGTAAAACAGCACACCTGATCACGAGCTGAAGAACCAGACGCGGTGGACTGTGGCATAATAAAAGCTCTGCTGCTTTGTGTCGTCGTGCACTGTGCCTTTAAGCTGACAAATATATGCTCATACACTTGTAGAAGAGTGTGACGGGAAACTGACCTGAGCTGCTGTTCTCATCGCTGGACGTCTCTGCAGCTTTGATGCGTTTCCGCAGAGCGTATGGTTTGACTCCATCAGAATCACTCTGCAAACCATCATCCGCTTTCCTCTTCACTCCTCTTCCTCCTGATGTGGATTACAGTCAATAATGAATTATTAATGATCGATTATTTCATTAATTGCCATTTATTTTACTCTGGGATTTAACAAATGGCAGCAGTGCTCCAGTTTTCCAGTATTTCTCCAGTCATAAAGAGTGGACAGACCTGAGCTGGACGCCTCTGTGTCAGCGTCTACACTTGTGTTCTCCAGCTCTGCAACTTTGATGCGTTTCCGGTGGGCAGATGGTTTGACTCCACCAGAAACACTCTGAAAAGCATCATCTGCTTTCCGCTTCTCTCCTCTTCCTCCTAATGTGGATGACAACACAATGAACAATACACTCTTAATCTAAACAATCATTTATTTTTTTTATGCCTGTAATGAAGCTTTTTAACTCGGAAAACTGGACTGACACAGTTTCAATTTACTACAACTTCTATGTTAAGCTGCTTTGACACAATCTACATTGTAGAAAATAGTTTGGACTGTGGGGGAACCCGGAGCACCCGGAGGAAACCCACGCCAACACGGGGAGAACATGCAAACTCCACACAGAAACACCAACTGACTCAGCCGAGGTTCGAACCAGCGACCTTCTATCTGTGAGGCGAACATGCAACCCACTGCACCACCGCGTCACCCTATTTGAATGATTTTTTTGGCACAAATAAAAGTGGATAATTTTCACACATACAGTGTATTTCTGCCATTGCTTTAGCAGCTAACTGATTAAAATACTTTGCACCTTGCCTCTGTATTATGAATTTTAAGTGATGAAACTGTAGAAAAGTGTGATTCTGTAACGGGAAACTGACCTGAGCTGCTGTTCTCATCGCTGGACGTCTCTGCAGCTCTGATGCGTTTCCGCGGAGCATATGGTTTGACTCCATCAGAAACACTCTGCAAATCATCATCCGCTTTCCTCTTCACTCCTCTTCCTCCTGATGTGGATTACAGTCAATAATGAATTATTAATAATCAGTTATTTCAATAGCTGCTGTTTATTTTACTCTGGGATTTAACAAATGGCAGCAGTGCTCCAGTTTTTCAGTATTTCTCCAGTCATAAAGAGTGGACTGACCTGAGCTGGACGCCTCTGTGTCGGCGCCCACTCTTATGTTCTTCCGATCTGCAACTTTGATGCGTATCCGTAGAGAATATGGTTTACCTTCACCTAAAACACTGTGAAAAGCATCATCCTCTTTCCACTTCTCTCCTTCACCTTTAACTGTGGATTAAAACACAACAAACATTAAACTCTTAATCTAAATCATGATTTTTATTGTCATTAATTCATAAAAAATACAAACATTGACAAAATCACTTTTTAAATTGTCAAATTAAGTTCTTAGCGGTGCAGATTATAAACATCAAACACTGAGTTTTTATACATTTACAGCGGCAGGTCTGTAAATAATCTTCATGAAACATGATCATAATATTCTCCTGCTTTTGTCATATTTCAGGCCCGTAGCCAGAGTGGGGGGTTCGGCTGGTTTGAAAGACCCACACCTCAATGGAGAAGGTGCAGGATTTGTACTATACATGAGCTCATTTGTCCTATTTTGGCTGCTACATCACCATAAATTGTGAAAATAACCTGTTGAAAAATGCTTTAAGACTGCAAAAATGTCCACATTTTGAGAAAAAAGAGCCGCCCCTTTCACCAGGCTGGCTACGGGCCTGTATTTGTAATGTAGTTTGGCTATTGCTAACATAAGCCCTGGGTCCTGAGTCACATTTTTGCACAATTGAATAGTCATTCATTATTAGTATAGCTGTTAATGCATTAAAATGAACATTTTCACTATTATACATTATAAATCAGGCCCGTAGCCAGGGGGCGTTGAAGTGGTTTGAAAGACCCCCTCGTCGCTGATATATGATCCAGAATTGTCCCAAGCATGAGCTCTTAGTCCTATTTTGACTGCTATGTCATCATAAAGTGTGAAAATAACCCATCAAAGAAGGCTTACAATAAATCTAAACAATTATTTTTCATGAGTCCGACATCCAGCGGTGCAAGAAAACATACAATATGACAACAGTGAAGTCATCTTTCACTACAAGTAGCCCAACGTTTATTCAGAATCTTGGACGTTTATTCAGAATCTTTGAACAAATACCAATAATAAGGTTTGAAGCCAAAAGCAGCCCATGTTAAAGTTAAATTTAATACTTATTAGGCTATTTTTTGTTAAACTTTCAAAAAGTTAAGCTGTACAATAATATTATGTTTTGAGGAAAGTTGAATGTGCTGATCAGTTTATAATTGTCTCAAAAATGACAACAGACTACCATTTTCTCATTTAAAACTTGAACTCTTTTTAAAAATTACATATAATATCCTCTTAAGGCCCAATGTGTTTTTACATGCATTTTTTTATTTCTCTTTTCTTTTTGGGCTTAATGGAACCTAATTAGAATAAACATCTAAGTATCATCTTTTGATATGATGTACTTTTAGAGAAACCTGATGTCCATATATGTGGACTCGTGGTCTGAATTTACATAAACACTTTCTCCTGACCATTTTTTAATGCATATATAACAGAAAAATGACTCTCAGAGAGTAAAAACAACATTTTTTTCCCATTTTGGACAGTTCAAAAATAGGGTTTGGGACATTTCATATGCTGCAAAACAGTTGCAAGATGACACTGTATGTCTGTAACAAAATATAAAACATTCAAAGTATTTTAAACAGCCACTTAAGAGCTAAAATGTGCTGTCTATGACTGTGGCCACACAAGCCCCAAAAGGTTATAATAAATTAGTATTTTTAAAATAATATTTTTATCATATTTCTTCATTCTATTTATTTAGCAAATGCTATTATGATGACCATCCATCAAGCTAATCCAGCTCAAAATAGTGCTTAAAATGTTACTAAAGTGCAG